GGGGGGGGGGGACACATTTAGGCGTCGCACACATGGACCAGCCAATCAGGAAGGGCCCCCACGCTCAGACTGGCTCCATTTCAGAGCAAACAGGAGGATCCACCAGGCCCCACCCGGCTTTTCCGGTTGGTTTGATCCAGCCTGGGGTTCATTCCATCAGATGGAACGTACCAAGTGCTGACGGGGGGGTCAGAGCTGCCCTGGTTCACTGGTAGAAGCCTGTTTTAGGAGTCCCCCCCCCGTTTTCACTTTTTGGATCAGCCCAACGCGCCAGTAGGATGAAGCTAAAGGTTTGAGGCTGTTTGAGTTTTCAGGAATACAGTTTTATTTTGTTTTATTGTGTTTTATCAGGATTTTTTCTGTATGAACTGATTTTTTGGTGGGTGTTCCAGGGTTTCGGTTCCTGGTCAATGTCCCAGTAAAACTAAATTTTAAGTTTTAAGTTTCTGAACCTGAACCTGTAACAGGCCTAAACATCAAGACATAAAGAATAAGGAGACTTTCTGAGACCCAGAAGGAGGAAACAGCCCCTGAGAAAGAAAAACAACCTTTAAAACATTCACTTGTGAAAGTCACCACAGAGAGGTGGAGAAATGGATTGTTCACGTATCGATTCTCTTTAGCAGGAAGTAAAAATTAGTAAAAGACTAAAAAAAACTATGAAAATATTTTTTACAGAAAACTTACATTAGCTAACTCTGATTATTTATATTTAATTTTCATATTTTATATATTTTTATTTTGTAAACAAATCTAAGTTACATTAAATTAACTGAACAACTAACATGGACTATTAGATTTTATTTATTTATTTTTTCTATTTTTCAGATTTTTTGAAATCTAACTTACATCACATTAACTTAAAACTAACTTAGCTAATTTATTTTTATTTAATTTGGATATTTTACATATTTTCTATGACTTAGACATATGTTGGAAATTTCTTTCGGGTGTTGAGTCGAATATTTGATCAAATTTAACTTCCTATGTTGGAAAACTCGTCTGTTTGGGCATAATGTTAATGTTAAACTCATGGATGGAGCTGACCTCTGACCTCTGACCTCTGACCTGAGACCTGGATGATACCATGTCGGGCCACGTCGTAGTAGGGGTGGGAGGGGTCAGCACTGGGGGGGGGCGGGGGGGCCCCGGCAGCAGGGCTCTGCTCCTCCTCATCCTCCTCCTCTTCCTCTTCCTCCTCCTCTTCCTCCTCCACCTCCTCCACTTCCTCCTCCAGGGCTGCAGACACAGAGGAAGAGTCCAGTTATCCAGATGGATAAGATGGTCCAGAAGCTTCTTCAGCTCTAATGATGGAGGAGCTCTGAGTTATTATACTGGAGGTGGAAGTGAAGAATTAGGGGGAACCAAAGAGGGCTCTGGTCCCTCCTGCTTGGGGGGGGGGCACCTGGGGGGGGTTAATGGTGGTTAACAGATAAAGGACCAAAAATAAGTAAAAGAAGCAGAAAAACAATGAAAAATACGTGGAAAAAGCAGAACATAAAAAAATAAGTAAAAGAAGGAACAAAACTATGAAAAATAAGTTGAAAAAGCAGGAAAACAACCAGAAATAAGTAAAAAAAAGCAGGAAAAAAATGAAAAATTTGTGGAAAAAGCAGAAAAACAACCAAAAATTTGTGGTAGAAGAAGCTAAATAAGTTGAAGAAGCAGCTAAACAACCAAAAAATAAGTGGAAAAAGCAGAAAAATATAAAAAATAAAAAATAAAAGAAGGAACAAAACTATGACAAATAAGTAAAAAAAGCAGCAAAACAATGAAAAATCTGTAGAAAAGGCAGAAAAACAACCAAAAATTAGTGGAAGAAGCAGCAAAACAATGAAAAACAAGTGGAGGAAGTAGAAAAACAATTAATAAAATGTAGTCAGATTAATAAACTGCGGGTGGAACTTCATTGTTTTGCTGCTTCTTTTACTTCTTTTTGATGTTTTTCTGCTTTTCCCACTTATTTTTCATAGTTTTGCTGCTTATTTGACTTAT